TGATTATCAAGGATACAGGCAGATGGAAAGATTGGTGGAACAATACTCGGAACGGTACTCTAGGGATAGCAGTACTTCAGACAATGCGCTAGACACAGTAGCTCGTTTATCGGTAATGGAGGAGCTGGACGCATTGCTGACTGCTAGGGTGCTCAGCAGAACCATTGACAAGTTACCCGCTTGAAAGGCACCAGGAGTGGATGGCATTCTATCAGAGGTCATCAAGTGCGCAAAAGGGGTTCTACTTGATCACATGATGAGTTTACTCTGTCTTAATGCTGGTCAGAGGGAAAGGTTGTCGCCGGATATGAGAAACTGCAACATATTTATCCTCTATAAGAATAAGGGAGACCGAAGCAGTTGCAACAGTTACAGAGGAATCACCCTGCTGAACATCGTCAGAAAGTCTTTGCCTGTGTGGTCCTCGGTAGACTACAGAAGCTTGTTGAGATGGTATATCCCAAATCTCAGTGTGGTTTCAGGTCGGAGCGTTCCACGATTGATATGACCTTCTCCCATCGACAACTACAGGAGAAATGACGAGAGCAGAGACAACCACTGTACATTGTCTTCATTGAACTCACAAAAGCATTCGAACTTGTAAGCACGGGCGGCTTTTTCAAGATACTCCACAGAATCGGTTTTCTTCCGAGCCTGCTCAAGATTGTCCATTTGTTTCATGCAGATATGAAGAGTGTTGTACAATTTGGCGACTCTTATTCAGAGGCTTTCAGTATCCGCAGGGATGTGAAGCAGGATTATCTGCCTGCACCTATCATATTCGGCAACTTCTTTGTGGTCATGCTGGAAAGTGCGTTCGGGGCTTCAACTAAAACCGATGGCCTCCATCTTCACACAAGAACAGACAGATGTCTGTTCAGTTTGTCTCGGCTGAGAGCGAAATCCAAAGTCCATGAAGTTCTCATTAGAGACATGCTGTTCGCAGATAATGCAGCGCTGGCAGCACACTTTGAAGAGCATCTGCAGCAATTCATGGAGAATTTTTCAGTCGCATAATCAGTTTGAAGAATACCAACGTGATGGTCAAAGGCGTTGAACAATCTTCAACCTGGAAGTGGTACATGAATCCACATACCTCGGCTCCACCGTTTCATACACCCTTTCTCTAGACACTGAGGTAACGGATCGGATGAGATGCCGCCACGTTCAGCAGGCTCACCTTGAAGGCCTAGGACAACAGAAAGCTTACTACGAACACCAAAATTTCAGTCTATACGGCACGCGTCGTCAGCGTGATGCTCTACGGCAACGAGACTTGGAACTTCAGCGCCTTTCATCTTGGCTGTCTGAGATCCATTCTAGGCATCAATTGATTCGACCAGGTCACCAGTGCTGTAGTTATCACCTGTGTCCAGTTACCCAGCCTATACGCCCTTCAACAGCGCCGGAACCACTGGCTTCGACATGTACACCGTATGATGGATGACAAGATTTCGAATGTTCTTCTGTACGGGCTACTGGCCCCGGGCAAGAGGACAACTTCATCTTCGATTCACGGACGTCTGCAAAAGGGACATGAAGGCGATGGCCATAGACATCGAGAGGTGGGAAGACGTCGCCAACGATCGCTCACACGGGAGACGCGAAGGCTGGACGCAGAGGAGAAACGCGCTCGACGGAAATAAAATAACACGGTGACATTGAGGGAGAGCATCTTCACATGAAATCATTGCAATCGAGGACTTGTACAGTCATAACAGATGATGCCCTGCCACCAGTAGATGAGAAATAACACTTTGGGTGCAGTTCCAAAGTTTCTCGAGATAGACGGATGCCACACACATAGTGGGGATCTTTTACGGTAGAATAAAAGTTAATAATGTTGCTATTTATGGTTATATCAGGATAAATTCACAAGTAAAGTCTAAAACATAGTTTTTTATCGAATGCTTCATTAATATTTGTTCATGATGTTCTATACTACAGGCTAAATCATTGGGTGAGTCAACTCAGTCCTGTGATAGGGTAGCTTTTATCATTTTACGTTTTAGTTGTCCTTGATTTTTAACTTAGCTTGTGTATGGAAGTCCATCGGTTCCCTTTTATTTTTTGTCCACTTTTTCTTTAGATTAATCCCCACCCCACCTCTCCACTAGGTGACAGAGATTACAATTCTATTGTCGTTGCATTTGTTCTTCGTATTGTGCGAGTGATTGCGGCAGTAAAAGCGCGTTTCCATGATGTTATTTTATTAACCCCCGTAGCATTTTCGGTCAGTGAAACTGTTATTTCTGCTACAATTAGATTGTTGGGCTTCAGCTTACTAACAACAATTCTTTTTTAGTTTTTGTAAATAGACTTTTTCATTGTAAATAATCACTGGGACCATTTAAAAGTTTATTATCTATCTATCTATCTATCTATCTATCTATCTATCTATCTATCTATCTATCGTCCACCCCAAAAGTCTATACACACTTCAGGAAAAGGAAAAACATGTATTTTGTAGTGTTTAGGCTTTTACTTACGGGGGACCCTAAAGGATGTCGTGCGTTGCAGAAAACTGACTCCGTTATTGGCTCTCAGAGACAAAATTGGAAATGCATGTGCAGTAATCCCACTGGACAATTTGGCCAACGTTTTCCAAACAGTAGTTTGCCGTACTAATAAATTTCTAGAATCTAAAGGCCACCATTTTGAGTATCTCTTGCGAATTGTCTAGTCTAAAGATAACTTGTATTAATCTCGTGATGTCTGAATGAATTTAGTATTACAATAGCTATACCAGTTTTCCTTTCCTGAAGTGTGTATACATTTTTTTTCGGACTCTGTATATATATATATATATATATATATATATATATATATATATATATATATACAGAATCCGCTAATTAAATGTTAGTTAATTGCTGAAACCTCCTGATGAGTGGACTGAAATTTTACTGAAAATTTGTCTGGTGTTGAGGTGCTGAATATAACATCAATCAGCTAAGTGACAAATTCTATTTGAATGTTATTTTTTTTTAGCTCCGTCCGCACAAAAACTGTTCATATGGTACAAGGTACGACCTCATAGAGAAAAATGTGGTATTATGGTATCTGTTTACAGCTGTGTTTGTATATAAATTAAATGTTTTGGTGAAAGAGATAATATTAGAGCGGATAAATCAGTGATTGTGTCTAAGTTATTTCTCTTTCCCCCAATTTTCGTTTTTCTTCCATATTTTTTACAATCTCTACAAATCAATATTGTCCTACTCAGGGCTCAACCAAGGATCAGAAGTGGAGGCCTATTTAAAAAGCGACACATTTTAATTACGGTTTGGGTTTGCGCTATTTTGCTTCTGTAGTCAGCTTAAGAAATTCCAATATTTTTTTATTTTGAAACTTAGAATAAATTTAATTCATTTAATCGAAATAACTACAAGGTGTATTGATTTTATTTCCATTTCACTATTATTTTATGTTTATTGCAAGGAAAAATGTTTTGTAGGAAATTTACTAAAAAATGAAATTTCAGAATCTTGATCTTGTTACTTGGAAGTTTATTTAACATTTTCATTTAAAGTTAATTCAATATTCTTCTCTGTGAACTTTAATCATCAATAATAAACTTACATTTTTCTTGCTTAATCCGTATTCTTGTTTGCAACAGATAAAAAAATATGTTGAATAAGTTTTATTCCGTAATGCAAATGTTTTTTTGAAAGAAAAAAATGTGAAGCTTTAGACAAGACAGTATGTTCTGACCGATAAATACCTAATATTAGTTGATTTAAAGAAGTCATTTATTAACTCATTTTTTTCTTGTCTTTCTTCTGACAAATGCCTCAAAACCTGTTACAAATAATGTTAGGTTTAATTTTTAACAGAAACTTTTTTTCCGAAGACTTTTTTTTTACCTCGATTTTGTTTTTGCATTGCGAAGTTTATTTTAAAATACCATTATTTGTCACATAAAGTTAATATTTTACTCTCTTTTTGGCAAGGTACTAGAAGTTCAGATCATTGCTAAATTGGTTTAATATCTCACACGACCTTCTTTCGGGTAAACAATATGGCTTTAGTTTCCCTATGTGAATTATCATTATTGAATTTTCCTATCAGGATCTGTGGCTTTAAACATCTTGAAGGCGTTCGACAGGGTTTGAATGAATTACTCGATCTGCTGCTAGGGAAGTTGATTCACTGTGTTGTGTCATACAGTTTTCTTGTCAGAATAGATTTTACACATTTATAATTCTACCATTTGTTTGTGCATTGAATCTTGGTACCATACCTGGTCTGATGCCCCTGTTATCTATCTCTAGATTCGTGACACAATCTAAAGAACGATCGGCAATGTAATCGATCCTGGCCTGGCATCTCAACTTCAGCCGGTGATGTGTCTTCCTTCTGTCTTTTCATCGCAAGTGTTCTGATGAGTTTTTGCTGCCTGAATTCATGCTGCAAGAAATTTAAGCGTACCCCTAGATTAGGAACTAGGTATCACCATCTTACTGTTGAAATAGCTAGATGTGAGTTCTGTTCTAATAGTTTCTTTTCTTGCACTTCTCACCTGTGGAACTCGCTTCCGGTTTTTTGCTTTCCTGCAACTCACATTTTAAATTCAACACCAATCGCCATATTCAGTCTTCCTACAGGGGGCCGACACTATTTTGGGACACTTTGAAAAGTGTGCTTAAAGGTGTTTTTTTGCTGCCAAGAGCTTTTGTGTTGATGAGTAGGTAGTTCAGCAGTAATTGTCCATTTAATGGTATGAACATTGATTGATGGGTTTGTCTTTGGTTTCATGTTTTCTTTATTTTTACTTCAACTTAGGCGACACTATTTTTCGGACATGACACAAATTCCGGGTTTTTTAATGATTTAGTCGTCGAACATCTACAATATGCAAATTTTCTGCAGGTAAATTGTACCCTGACCATTACATTTGAGTATCTTTACCATTCACTGCGAAAACGTATTAAAATTCTGAAGAAGAATGCATTCAAAAGAAGTCATCAGTTTGGTCTAAAAGAAGAGAGAAGACGGGCTCAGCATCCGAAAGATCGCCGCTGAGATGAAGCTAGCGAAGTCAACAGTTGAATACATGCTAAGTACAGACTATGAGCGGAAGAAGAAGAATAGAGTACGGAAAAAAAAACAATTTCCAAGAGAACAGAAAGAAAAATGAAGAGAAGTGCTACGAGGTTGTTATCATCTCGAGAAAAGGTGACAGCGAAGAAAGTAAAGGAAAAGTGTGAACTTGACGTCAGTGTTCCATCTGTACAAAGAAAGCTACACGAAATTGGACTTAAGTATGCTAAAATCAAGAAAAAAATTACACTAACGAGAAAACACAAGGAGGCATGGCTGGGAAGTGCCAAAAGGTGGATAACAAACCATGTCGACTTCAAGAAAGTGATATTTACTGATGAAAAACGTTTTAAGTTCGATGGACATGGCGGGTGGTGTACATGGTCGAGAAAAGGTGAACCTGTTATTCTCAACAAGAGACAGATGGGAGGAGGAAGAGTCATGGTTTGGGGTATGGTATTTCAGAATGGAAATTTGCGGCTCGAGTAGTTAAAAGAACGTCAAAATAGCTTGAGCTACAGAGAATATTTGGAAAAGAGAGCCCTACCACTCATAGAAAAAGAAATGGGAAGTAATTTTATTTTGCAGCAAGATAACTGCAGCATCCATGTGGCCAAATCAGTGAAAAATTGGATGTGTGAAGCAAATATAACTACTCTGGAATGGCCTGCAAGAAGTCCAGACTTAAATTTAATTGAAAACATATGGGAAATGCTTGCAGAGCTTGTTTACAACGGGCCAGAAATAACCAGAAAGGCTGAACTGTGGCAGTGCATACAAGATGCTAAAAATAGGCTGCTAGAAACACGAAGAGACGTTATTATCAATATGTACGAACATTATGAAGATAGACTGATAGAAGTCATTTAAAAAAAGGGTGCTGCCATAAACTATTAGCATTGTTTCTGCAATGTCCGAAAAATACTGTCGCCTGTGTAATGTGAAAATTTGTAAAAAAAATAAAAGTACTTCTAATTTGAATTCTGCTTTTCTATTTGTAGTATAGAAACAGTTTTGAAATGTTATTGCCATTACCCTAAAACTGTACAGACTGCCTGTGCTACCTAAAACTTGAAAAAATAAAGTGTCTGAAAAATAGTGTCGGCCCCCTGTAAATCCCGTTCCTTTATTGTCATTTCTCCTCAATAAATTTTTCTCATTCTCTTTCACTCCTAGTATACCCTTTGCGTAAGTGCGTATCGCCTTACTTTGTGTGGAATGATTATATATCATATTAATGATAAAATTTATTTTTTCATGAGTAATTTTGCTTTTATTTCTAAAGCGTATTTAAAAAATGTATGTTGAATTTTAGTTTATCGTTAAAAACATGGAATAAAAACAAATTTAATATTTTGAAACTACAAAATTAATGAAAAAGTAATTTATTAAGAACTAGAAGTTTTTTGGTAACATCTTGACTTGTGTTGAGATCCTCACAATATTTAGTATTGTTGAAATTATCATTCTTTGTCAATCTCTACGTTTCGTTCAATTTCGCAAATCAATCGATGAAATTTGAATAAGCTGATTTGTTTGGAAAAATACTTTGACAAAAACCCTATTTCGTAGCTTAATAATTTTTTCAAATTTAATTTGATTTTATAGGACTACATGGCAAAAAATATTTTTTAAGAAAATTTAATTTTTTTTTTTTTAAATCTAGATTTCTTACTCTAGAGTATATATATATATATATATATATATATATATATATATATATATATATATATATAAAAAAAAAAAGAATGGATTAGTGAATACTCGTATTTGAGTAAAAGCTTCGTTTATATATTGAACAGTATATATTTATTTATTTTCCCCTAGCGGACTGTATGTTCTTTACACTCTTTACGCTCTTCGGCAGGAATCGAACCAGCATCCTTCAGGGCAGAGGGAACCACCATTTTAATTAACACCTTCACACTTTCTCACGAAGAAACAGACAGACAAACGAACCAATTTCATGCTTTCAAGCAAAATTTCTTCAGTCTCTCAAAAATAAATAAGTATACTCTTTAATATATGAACGGAGCGCCTACTCAAATACATGTATTCACTAATAATAATATTTAAAGTAATTATATATATATATATATGTATGTGTGTGTGTGATGCGTACTAAACAGTTAAAAGTAACCTTACTTAACAAATATTTAGAGTGAAATAGCTAAGAAAGTAGGACAGAAACTTTTCAGTAGCCCTCATATATATATTTTGTTGTTTCTTTTTCAGTCTATTTCACGCCTTTTTATATTCCCGGGGTCCATCGTTTTGCCGTTGCACATCTGTGGGTGTGCACTGTGGGTGATGCGCCTGAAACCCTTTTTGGTGTTCTCCTCCGTCATTTAGCGCATATATATATATATATATATGAAAGTGAACGTTGAAGTCAACACCCACCGGCAACAATCTGTTTCATGTTTAAACGTAATCGTCAGGCTATGTGCGTTGTGCGTTGTGCTTTGATTCGAGTGTTTATATATGCTGATCAGTGGTGCATTATGGGTAGGTCTATCGTATTATTACAACGGTTATTTGGGTGGCCGGTAACGATTATGTTTCGAATTATTCTAGGGGCTATTGAGCGGAAATCATTGTGGATCTGGATCAGTTTCGTGGCTATTTTATAGTGTTGCTTGCTAACTTTTTCTATTCATTAATTTATTAATGATTATTTTATTTTTTGTTGTTGGTTGTTATTATTACGTTTACTTATGTTTACGTGTGCTTTCGTAGTTTGTTAATTTGTTTCCTTTACTTAATTTATGTACTTTTTTATTATTTTGGATTAATTTATTTTACTTATTTATTTATTTTTATTTGTTTATTTTTATTTCATTTTTGTTCGTGTTTAAGTATTCGTAGGATTCGTAGGAAAACTTGTTTTCCCGTCTGCATTTTGAGATGAGTTCTGATCGTTTATTTGGTAATTTGTGTTCGTTTCGGAAGGTAATATTAGCGATTTTTTCCAGACAGAATTTACAGTTTTTCGATCTATTATTGTAGGTTGATGCTGTTTTCCTTATATTCCGCGAAATTTTTGGTGTGATTTAATTTTCGTTTTTATTTTCCCAAGTTTGTTTAGAAAGCATTATACTGGTCACTTATTTACTATCTGTAAATAATATTTTGTGTGCGTAGTTTCTTTGTTTTCCGGCCTTTCAGTTAATCTTTTCTCCTCATTATTAGCTCAGTTTACCGTGTTTTGGTATATTATATTGTTCTGCAAGCAAAAAGGGAGGCACAAAAACAAATTTTTAATACGTTACTGCATCTGGATCAACAATTATTTCCACTCAATAACCACTAGAATATTTTGAAATATAACTATTACTCACACACAAAAACTGTTAGAATAATATAATAGGCCTACCCATAATGCACCATTTACCAGCATATATAAATAGTCGAGCCAAAACACGACGCACATGGCCTGACGATTTCGTTTAAACATAAAAAAGATTGTGGCCGCTGGGTGTTGACTTCAATATCCACTTTTATATTTACATACGCTCTATTTCTGAAAGTGATCGCTTTAACCTTTTAAAGGCAATATAGCATACCACAAAACTATATATATATATATATATATATATAGCATACCAATATAGCATACCTTAAAACTATATCGATACATATATATATATATATATTGTGTGTATTTAGGCAGCAATTTTTCATTGATGCATGTTTCATTAAATAATATAGACAAGTTTTGTCTATTTATTTTAAGAAAGTTCCTTTCATATTGTCTGATAAACTTAATAACATTATCGTTGAAAGACGAAAGGAAATCACCATATTGATACATGTTTAAATCCAATCTAAGCTTTCGGCTTACATAAGCCATTATCAAAGATGACAATTACATTTCAATATATATAACAACACACGGATGAAACAATAATTATAGTCTGTTTTTGTTACATGAAAAATTTCAAAGCAACGCAAACTGGTGTATACGAGACGCGGAAGCGAAAATCGCGTCGCAGCTAGTGACAAAAATATTCTTTGTATATTTTATGCTTATTTTTTTTTTTTTGCAGGAGCAGAATAATGTTTTGGGGGAAATTATAAAATGTTCTGTTACTTCTGCAGCCTTCGCCAGTGTTTGATACTAAATAGTGTTTTTTTGTTGTTTTTTTTTTAACTGGGTTAAATTTTAAATCCAGTAGACGTTAATGATCTCACCAAAAATCCTTTGATCGGGGCACCTGATTTTTATTGCTACTTCCTCATCCTCTTTCCCCCTCATCACCTTTCCCCCTCATCCTCTTTCATCCCCTCATCCTCTTTCCCCCCTCATTCTTTGGTCTGTTTCTCATTCCGGTCAAATGATGCCAACTATAAGTGGTGAGGTGTGTGGCTGAAAACTTTTTTACACTTCTGTCTTCTTAGTGGGATAATAAGTGTGTATATGCGAGATTATAAGATGAATCAGATTAAGTAATAATAATAATAATAATAATAGGTTGCATGGTATTGGCACCAACTGAATACGGCATCACAGAATGATTAGAGACCGCAAACACAAAACGCGCCTTCTTATTGAGATAGCAGTCTCTGCAGATGGCAATGTATCTATGAAGATCTTTAAAAAACTATCAAAATATGAGGACCTTGAAATCGAAATCTCAAAAATATGGCATCTGCGGACATCAATATTTCTAGTTGCAGTAGGAGCCCTCAGATTGATTGGAAAAGAATATAAGATAAAACGGATTAAATAATAATAATAATAATAATAATAATAATAATAATAATTTCCATAAAAATAACAATGACGATAAAAATGTAAACATGCAAGTAAAGAAGATATTATCCGTGAGTATAGGATGATGTGAATAATAATAATAATAATAATAATAATAATAATAATAACAATAACATCGGATTACAAAAAATTTTTTGAGGCAAACATGTGAACAGGTGTTTTTTTTTTTACTAATTTTGATGCGATGAATTCAAATTTCTAAACAATTTTACTCTATCACCTCTTTCACGTATCACATTTTTATACTGCATGTAAATTCAAAATATAATGTGTTTATTTTACCTATTACAAAGACATATTATAAAAACAGCACAGATACACAGCATTGACGGGTCTAAATTACTTGGATAATACCATAGATACACGTCATAGTACAACAGACAAGCAGAAGTGAGTTTTTTGAACGATCTCGAGTGTCTTGTATCCGGTATGTCGCGCAGGAGCCTCGAGCAGAAGTCCCCTATCATACTGGCATTCCACCTGCCTTGGTAGTTTCTTTCCATCTTAGTTGAACTTTTCTCCATGTTCATCACTCAGTGCTCTCTTAAGTTTAGCGGGAAGAAATTAAATGTTGGAAAGTGAATTTTGAGTGACATTCGACATCTCATATCCTCATAAGACTGTAACAACTTCTCAATAAACTCTTGGCAATCTGTTACCTGTTACCAAGGAGGCCGTGACTGACTGACTTAAATACTTTTCATGCTCTCAGTTCAGGTAAGATAAGAAGCTCTACCGTAACACAACCCGTTTTACATGTCAAAGAATGAGGCAAAGTCCTTGTTTCGTTTGCTGAAACTGGTGAGCCTTACATCTACAGTGACTAGGTTCCCCTCCTTAAGCCGGTATACCAAGAGCTCTGACAGCTGCTTAGATAGGTACAAATCACGGGCAAGGTCTTCCTGGGTGATCCAGTGGAGGTCACTGCAACTTAATCCTGAATAAACAGTGACATTGTCTTCAGAAGAGACTGACTTGGCAGAATTTTTCTCTGCATTTCAACCAGTTGTATTTGTTAGACAAAAATAGCCATTGTCTGCATGGATCCATAGCTCTCTCCAGACGATCGGGATAAGAAAGTTGAAGGCTGCTTTCTTATCATAAAACTATGCAGTTAGTCCATTGTAGCAAAGTTTACAACAGATGTATGCGGCCCAGGATTTGTCCTGATATTTAATTTTACACTCAAAATAATGAAAGTGAGCAGTTCTCCGGAGAAGAGTGATTGTCCGGTGCTGTGCAACTGCCGTGAATTCCTCCCACACGTAACAGAATGAATTTTAGGTTGTAGATGCATCCTCAGTGTTTTGAAGTGACTGAAGCTATTGTAGAGATATGTATTAGCTCACAAAAATATGGAAAACAAAGTAAACATTGATCGTGTATATGGTTATACGCATGCATACCGGGCATTCGAATTTGAAGAGGATTTCATTTTGCCGCAATGAAACTTAGCCCGCATGGCCGAGACGCTTATGCCAGTTTTTTTTAAGAATAAAAAAAATTTCAAATTCCTAAAATTTCGAATTAAGAAAAAAAACCTAATGTCCTAAATAGGACACATCTGGCACTCTTGAATGCATGTACATGTATACATTTTACGTATATGTATAGATGTATAACTCAAAAACTAGAAATGATGAGCGAAAACGGATTTCATAGCTGAAATCAGCATTCCCCCCCGCCGCAAAAAAAGGTGTAATTATGATAAACATTTATAGCGATGTCCCTAATTGTCTTTTTGTGATTGTTGAATGGGGGACGACTTAAGAGTCAGTCTCACCAAATATAATTACCTCCATCAAAAACATTGCAGAAAATCATTTAAATTAAGCTAGAGCTGTCACAAGTAATGCAGATTTGGAATTTAAGGCAGTTTGAAAAAACTATTCATTATCAAACATTGACGAAAGCCGCAGGAGTAGCTGAAAATTTAGCAATTTCTTCAAAACTTTATTGTCGGCCCACACATGTTAACTCAATAGAAACCATAAAAAATATACAAAGAATGTCGTGTTTATATATATATATATATATATATATATGCTGGGCTTGTTGACATTGTTGTGGCTATACACGCGCACGAACGAGAGATGCTGGCTGTTTTAAATTTAGACATATTTTTTTTTGTTTTGCATACAATCCAACCAATTTAATCTAGATTCTTTTTTTTTATTATTCTTCCATCGTTTTTCATATTAAATAATCCCAAATTTCTATAATAGAAGATCTGCCAAGAATTGTGAAACGTTGTAAGAACCTGGACGCAAATTTAGTGTGAATGAACGAACGATTAAATGTGCGATATTTAATAACATAGAAGATGGAAAGAAAAAGAATCTAAATGAAACTGGCGAGATTGTATGCAAAAAAAAAGAAAAAAAAGATTCTTTTTAAATTTAAAACTCCCAACGTAAACAAACCCAGTCCGATGAAGTCCTAACGGATGAAACGCGTCACAAAACCTTTTTACATTTTGCCATACGTCTTTTCTTTCTTTCACAACACACACACACACACACACACACACACACACACACACACACACACACACACATATATATATATATATATATATTCTGTTTGTACATTATCTTTATATATACAAATATTTAAGTAAATGCTCTGTTTATAAAAAAACAGTGTAAACTACATTTACCGGCCTGAATGTCCGAGAAATTTCATAGAAAATATGTGTCCTCCGACAGGAATTGAACATGTATCGTACACATATTTTCTATAACAATTTCTCGGACATTCAGGCCGGTAAATGTAGTTTACACTGTTTTTTTATAAACAGAGCATTTACTTAAATATTTGTATCTATAAAAATGTATAAACAGAAAATATATCAAAATAATTGATCCATTTCTTAATCCATAATGGTCTTAATCCATAATGGTCTTAATCCATTTCATAATATATGATGTCATATATATATATATATATATATATATGGGAGAAAACGATATATAAGTTTCTATGTAGAAAAACAATGTTAGGAAATTGAATGACAACCTGGAAAGTTTATGTGTAATGCGTTTAAGTCCTGCAAAATGCCTTCATCGCACTCAAATAATGTATTTATTGGTTGAATTATGTTATTTTTTTGATGGAAGGAATTGGGGGAGAAACAGTTGAATGTTGTTTATAATTATGCGTTGAGGAGAAATGTTCAAAATGTCGGACGCTAAATGTTAAATTTTTGAGTTTTAAATTTTTTAATTTTTTTTATAAATTTATTATTTTCTTTTTTTTTTTGTGCCCGATGGTGTTTGGCCGAGTTGATATCATTCAGTTTCCCTCTAGTTTTATTTTTGTTTTTATCTTTGTTGTTTCTAAATATTCCACATTGTGACAACAGAAAAAAATGCCTAGAAAGGTAAAATTCAAAAAGATGAACGTAAATTTACTGCGGAAATCTCAGAAATCAGTGCACTTTCTATACATTTTCACTTTAGTAAATTGATTTCTCTTTTTAATTAAATTAGTAATTATAAATCGAAATTATGTTCTAAATCATTACGGTGAGCGACTAATGTATTGAATGTATTGTTCTTTAAAAGATCTCTTTTCTGTTCAGATAAACGTTCATTAAAATTTCACGATGTCTCTCTCACATCTTCCTTGTGGCAATCATTACAGATTATAGAGTAAATTCCTGTTTCATGTTTTAGGTTGCTATTACTTTGTTTTGCATTAAGTCTCTTATTGTTTTAAAAGTTGTTGAAACAAATTTTATGTTAGCTTTAATTAACTTCTTTTCAATTGTAGTTGTGATGGAGTTGGATGGTAGTGTAATATAATTCATTTTATTATTATTTCTTCTTTTATTTTAAAAGAAAATGGATGTGCTTTCTGTTTCGCGTTAGATACAAAATAATTAGGCTATTGGAAGAGTTTAAAAATTTTTTTAACGTATCATCACATAGATTTCTGTTATAAACATTTATTTCTATCATAAAGAATTAGTTCTGGGTCATTATTAGTACGGTTTAAGATGATATCAAGCAAACGTAATGTGTTGTTTGTTTTTGTTTAATAAGTAAATTCTATCATACGTTCGACTTAATATACAATATTGTTTTGTGGCTGTATAATAATAAAGCCTATAGGAAATGTGTTGATTGTTTAGGTAAAAATAATTTGGAAATGACCAGATTCAAGAAATCCTAAGAATGGACAAGGTAAAACGAAGTCATCCCATCGGTAATCTGAAACTTTGTAAAAATTCTATCAAGGAGAAATAACATTGGTTTCAGTAAATCTTTTATTTATTGGTAGGAGGCGGTTATTTTTTTTATTGTACTAGATTTGTTTAAGTTCAGCATTTGGGGTCAAATCTTCTGGTGTGACGATGTGGAATATTTAAAAACAAAACCGAAAGAAAAAAAATGAATGAAATCAGCTAGGACGGGTATCCGGAGAAGTCAAGCGCCAAAAAATTATATTAAAATATTTTTAAACATAAAAATTTTAAATTTAGCGTTCTCACACCTTCACTATTTCCCGTCATTGCCTAATTTACATTTATGTCTCTTCCTTCTCGATAGAGATATTATTCCATTAATTCCATCAATGAGAACTTTACTTTAGACTGATGAAGTCCTTTTAGAGGTCGAAACGCCTTGCGCATAATTATCCATTTTGTCTTTAAATTACTTAATATATATATATATATATATATATATATATATATATATAGATAGATAGATAGATAGATTAGAGAGAGAGAGAGAGAGAAAGAAAGAGAGAGAAAGCGCGAATTTGTAAACAGCGAGAGCGACTGCTGATAATGCAAAGCTCTTCTATGAATCGAGCACTCTGAGTCACTGGTGTGTTTATTCAAAATAAATACGTAAAAATTCACTTAGTGAAAAATCTCCGGCTGTTTGGATCCTGGCTTGAGGCAATCGGATGTCTAGCCACACTGATGAGCTGTGATACAGCGAAACAGTCTGTCTGTGAATGAACTGAATATATATATATATATATATATATATATATATATATATATATATATATGAAGAAATATAGTCTTAAGATGCGCTATATTTATGGGATAAAGTGCTCAATATTAGAGATAGAGCGTGTGTAAATATAAAAGTGACCTGACGATTGCATGAAACAGACTGTCGCCTCTAAGTGTTGACTTCTATATTCACTTTTATATTTATATATATATATATATATATATATATATATATATATAGAGAGAGAGAGAGAGAGAGAGAGAGAAAAGTGAGAGAGGGTGAGAAAGAAAAAGGAGGGCATAATTAAAATGGTGAGAGTACTTCTGTACTCTCAGTTAAATAATAAAAACTCAAAAAGACAATGCAATTAATGTTTATAGATTTGCCGATTTTCCAAAGAAAAAAAAACTGGACAAAAAGTAAGACAAAATCTTCAGGCAAAGACATTTACAAAAAAAGAACAAAATTTAAGTGTCCAAGTAATGTCCGGAGAGAGAGAGAGAGAGAGAAGGAGAGAGAGAGAGAGAGAGAAGGAGAGAGAGAGAGAAGGAGAGAGAGAGAGTCAGGAGTGAGGGCAAGCGAGGTAGGGGAGAGGACTGGGCGAGAGTGAGCAAGGATTGGGCTGGGCAGGGTCAATGTGATAAGGAGGGGACTGAGTTAGAGAGAGAGAGAGAGAAAGAGGAAGGAGAGAGAGAGAGAGAGAGAGAGAGAGAGAGAGAGGCAGGGTGTGGGGCGAGAAGAAATGATTCACCAAAATTCTTAATGGAAAACACATGTGAAATACCAAAGAATTCTGTAAATAAAAAATACCCTTCAACAACAACCCGTGTGTAAACATAAGCATTATAGATAAAATATGGATTTCATAGAAGCAGTAAGATTAACAAGCAACGATTGTTCATATTTTTCCCATTGTTATCCGGTTAATTATTTTTTTCGTAGTCAATTTCTATTATCATTTGGATTCTGTGATGATGCATATGTTGTGCGCATGTGCAAGCCTTTCAAGGCTTCGCGCATGCGTAGACGAAATTTTATGGAAACGCTGATGCGTTCTTTCAAATGCTTCAATGTTTGTGATTTTTCAAAACTTCAATGTTTATCGATTCATTTATTGTCTTGATAATTACAGTTCATGTAAATTCTAATTAATTATATTTTTCATAGTCTTTTTTGTTAAGGGGGATGTTGGGGAAGAGAATTTTGCAGTCTTTTTTTCTTTTGTTCAAAGTCATAAATATTTTTTTTTTATTGATTTAGAATCATGTGTCTTTTTGTTATCACTTTTGATATAAAACCCCACAGATGAGAATGTAGCCAAGAGATAATAAAAAGCAAGTGGTTCATCGGCAGATGCTTCGATTTTTATTTCTATTTTTGTGGTATTGTGAAGTTTATGTCATAAGCAAACGAGACTTGAGACACATAATTAAACTGATGTAATTTTTTCTTCTCGTTTTTCTTTCTTTCTCTTTTTTGATTGAATGACTTAATTAAATGTTGTAGGCATTTTATTGCCCAAATCTTCAATATTTCATAATTTCATCTTTTAGGCTTTAATTCTTATCTATGATGGTCATATCATATCATGATAGTCATATGATGGTCATATCATATAAAAATATGCTAGAAATGATTCAACATTTCTCTTCCTTTTTTACTTTTCATAAAAGTTCCATTTCAATTTAATATTCCTTATTTTTTCACTGTCATTTCATTAGATGTTCGTAGCATTAAGTTCATAAGTAGGTGCACGTATATCTAACACTTGTGTAATGTGTATGTGTGTTTGGGTGTGTGTTTGCGCGCGTGTGTGTGCGTGATGACGGAATCTGCCAACCAGTTGCTTCCTTCTCTAGCAGGAACCCAAGGAGCTTGAGGACTCATCAGCGACTGAAGTAACAATTCGACAACACTGTTTCAGATCTGTTTCGCACGGGGCACTGACAGTCGCCGGCGACGGAACTGATCGAACGACCGTTGCCAGCGACGATTTTAGTCCCGACGGTGTTGAGCTGACCTTGACGCTGGTGGTGCCGCCGCTTGCTGTCGTCGCATGTTTGTTGATTGTTTCTCCTGTCAGCGTCGATGAAGACATGGTACCTGGGGCTGTCGTGACCGCTGCTGCAGCCGCTGCGGCTGCGGCGGCTGCCGCCGCGGCTACAGCATCATCATTAACAATGTCAATCATTAAATCACCGCTATGGTTACCGCTGTTGCCGTCATCGACATCCAGTTCTGGTGCATCTTCATTCTCGCTTCCAATGCCATGCGCCATTTGTTCAACGACGAATCCTACTGGCTGGGTGACGGGGTAAAGAGGCACCATGCCCAAAGCAAAAGGATTTACGGATTTGCTTGCCTGAACACGTGGATATTTCCAATTTGGTCGGCGGCCTCGGGGAACTTTCGGTGCTTCGAGAATACTTTCAATACTAAACGGGCACTTTCGCGGGTGGTTCGACACAGCCAGGTGGTGCTTATCTGGGCTGGCATTTTCCTGGTTCGAATCCGGTGACTGGCTCATACTTAAGCAACTATCTTGAGAACAGGTCTCGTCATTTGACGTCAACTTCATGTTTATCTTTTCTCTGTTCTGATAAACATCACCGTTCGTATCCGATGACATTTTTCGGCGTTCCTCTAATTTCCGGAGGCGTTCTTCTTGCTTCCGTCGTTTCTTTTCCAGTCGATCCATTTCTCGCCTCTTTATCTCCTCAGGGTCCATCGGCTCACCGCTGCACGTCTGCGGGTGTGCATTGTGAGCCGGGCGCCCTGGTCCCTTTTTCGTGTTCTCTTTCTTTCGCCATTTTGCTCGTCTGTTTTGAAACCAAACCTGCAGAAACGAAAAAGAAAAATAGTCATAAAATCACATTTATAAAGTAGTTTAAATTAATGTTGAACACTAGTATATACATTAGGATTATAAGAAAAATATATAGAAATATTCAAGGCCTGACCAATATAGAGGAATTAATTTAATTGAACCAAAGTAATTATTCGGCTTAACTAATTCTGTGCACTTTCTATCGATTGTGGCCTTCTCTTGTTCGATTGAATCATTTGCCTTCCAGGAAGGAACCTCTTAGTAGATAATTCCAGTCCAATATTCGTAGCATTCATACAATAGTGGTTTCCTGCGTATATAAACAGCATTAATTTAATTGGATAAATACTAAACATTGGTGCAGTTAAGGATGGTTAATTTTGCTGGCTTCATGATCTCAAGCGTTCCTGTTGTTGTAAATTATACAATTTTCATCGTCAAAGATGGTTTTAAAATTGGAACATTTAAATACAGTCCGGTATTTCTTTCACTTAAGTGGAAGTCACACATTAATTCAACTAACATAACCAAACTACAACAAATATTTTCAAAGCTTGATTTAAATATTTTCAGTGAATTTGCTTTTCGTTTAATTTTAATTACTATCAGCTGATTACCTTCTTTTGGATTTTGCTATAAACCTCAATTTATTAAAATATAAATATAAAACTATCCAGCGAGAAATTTCGAAAACCATTTTCGAGACGCTCGATCAGACACAGTACGTTCTTTATAAACCCACATAAACCATATTTACATTTGAGCTGTGCTTTTATGAATAAAAAATTTTATTCTTAAAAAAAGCACAAAACGCCTAAAATATTATATATTTTCTTTGATCTTCAACTTTAGAATTAATAAACAAAAAGACATCAATTTCCCCAACACTGCATACTGATATGAGAGCTGTCACAATGCAATTAAAATCGTTTTAAATTAAATAATCTAGCGAAAAAGCAACCCATTTATTAATTTCATAGAATCAGAAATAGAATATATTCAGTTAAAACATTTAGTTTAATTATTTATCATTTGTAGACTTGTGTAAGTGAAAATGATTTTGTTAATATGAAATCTGTGAAAGAAAGGAAAGATGAGAAATAACACTTAATTTCAGTCATGAAAAAAATCAAAAAAATCACTTATATTTCAATATGAAGTCATCATTGAAATATAACCGAATGTACATTTAGAATGCCGTTATTACTCGTGTATAAGTCTACTTTATGTATAGTGCGTCCCTTGAATATTTTTGTGAAAAATCTGAAAAACGTAGTCCAATAATGCAGTACTGGGCATCATTCGGAACATGCTAGAATTCAAATTCATTTGGCATTTCATCCTCTGCAATCATTTACTGTATCAATGCTGGGGAATATTGATAAAATATTTGAAGAATATCTAAAGGAGAATTAAGTAATATCAATAAATGTAAAGAATATCATAAATAAATATAGATATAGATAAATAGAGGAAGACAGAATAAGGAACACAACTAAAATATATACAGTAAGGATACGTAGCAGACAAAAAAGGTGCCGTTGGAAAATGCCACCAGCGATGGAAAATGCCACCAGCGATGGAAAATGCCACCAGCGATGGAAAATACCCCAGCGATGTAAACACGCGCGAACGAAGATAAACGCAAGTTGGAGACCCCCCCCCACCAAAAAAAAAAAAACAACAAAAAAACAAAACGTTGTTAATTCTTCAATTATATAAGGTATTTGTAGATTTTAAGCGGTACACGTAATGAATGACGTTCAGTTGTTTATGTAGTAACAGAAATAAAGAATCTAGTTCTGCTGGAGGCGTCCGAGAGGATCTTACTAGTATCGTTTAAAGTTAGCCAAAGATACCAGGAGAATTTAAGCCTACCAGCTAGGCTACGATCATCGAAAATGCATGAATATTAACCTCTGCAGAAAAAAACAAACAAAAAAAAAACTTGTGTATAGAGCAAACGATCACCGAAAATGCATGCTTTTTAAACTCTTCAAAAAAAAAAAATTACCTATGTATAGTACGACCTCCAATTTTTGCGTAAAAAACTGATTATAATATATACGATAGTATATACGATAGTATTTACGATAGTTTCGTTGAAATTTGCCGCATTTTGCAGCCAAATCTCGTCATCATGTTAAACATTTTTTTTAACTTTTGGCTCTCGTTATTTCAACCGATAAAAGCCATCAGTTTGTAACGTTATCGTCACACATCACTAATGAAAACACGAAACTAAATTTCTCATACATAACATTATATTTGGGATTCGTGTATTACTGTCGGCGTGTGACCCCGATGTTCACTCCAAACGTGGATGCTAAATGCTAATATTGGTGTAAGAGACTGTCTTCTATTCCCTCTCGGGTCAGTATTTATATATCTACTTCTCATACATTTTTTCCACGCGTGCACATCACAAGCGCAGCTTTGTTGACCACGTGTTCATATATCGAGGTTAGTCAGTGATATCACGTAAAGCGTGGATATGCCCACCCGGCTAGTTGGTCAACCCTTGGGTCAACCCTCTGATGCAGCTAACTTCTTTGATGATCTGGTGTGACTTTGAGTGAAAAACTAGAATAACTAAATAACCATTATTCCATGCACATATTTCTTTATTCGTTAATCAACTATCAACTCCAAGTATGTTCTTCGAAGTTACATTAGAAATTCAAAATTGCTAGATCATCCTCCCACACGCGTACATACCACATGTAATATATATATGTATATGCAGATATATTTACAATATATTTAAGCGTGAATTCAGGTTCAGCGGATTCCAGTGAGAAGGAGGAAAAGCAAGTGGCAGTAAGGGCGGAAAGTGTCCAAAGACAATTTATCCATGGCCGGACAGTAAGCGGGTGGGCCGTTTTGATTCTATTCATTTCAACTTCTCTCTTGTCATGAGCTCTGATGGAAAGAACCATTTGTCCATTCGCCGACCATTGTAGGCCAACATCCGGTCTGTTTATAAATATGTTGATATTATTCAATAGTCACTAACGTCCGGCTTCCGACATTGAACCGTGTGGTTTGGGTGAGAATTTATTGAGCCTTGACAGATGTAAATAAGAATGTATGGATGTAACGAAATTTATAGGCAGATTACATTATATATATAATAAATAATATATATATATATATATGTATATGAGGTTGTGTGTATGTGTGTGTGTGTGCGTGAGAGAGAGAGAGAGAGAGAGTGTGTGTGAGAGAGAGTGCTTACAAACAGAAGTAATTCACACGTCAATTTATACCGACAGAATTCAAATTACAATACACTGAATTTGTGTTTCAATTACTCAAGATTAAACGTATAGGTAAGTTCACTGGATTACAGTAAATCTTGGATTTAAGCAATGTCGACAAGGAATGTTTTATATTTTATTTTACTTTTCTTTTCCTATGAAGAGCTGTCTTCTCTGTTATATAGAAATATTACATTCGTACTTTGGACACATAATAACATCATTATCATGTAGGTTAACTAGCCACTTGTGTAATGAATGCACTCTTCGTGTTTATACTAGTAACCTAGGTTGATAAGAAGTCATGTTTCTTGTAGTATACAGCAAATAACGGTGAACAATATACGTACACTTTGCAGCATTAAATGGATGTGCATGTAGCGTAGCGGTTATCGGCACAGACATTCGGAATGGAATGTCGAGTTTCGCACAAATACTCTTAGAAATGTAGAAATCCATTATTATCCATCAAACTTGGGGTTAATAGTTGGGTAGATTGGGCTCTCTAGCCTTGATTGGTAACCAGTCTAAGAGAAGGATAACTGGATTCAAAATTGGTTGGGTGTAACAACTCTAAAAAATCTTAATTGCTATGGAAACTTTAACAGCAACACCCAACGTAATGAGGCTGTGGCTATATAGTCCACAGGAATGTATAAAGGGTTAACCTGGTGATTACCACATCTTACTCAGCCTCCTCACCCCTCGAATCATTTGTGATGGCTTCCTTCTGGTTTTGGCGTCCATGTTCCCTAATATGGCTCTTAAGACCAGTTTTCGATTTCATAGGGTATCAAGAATACATGACAGATGAACTCTGCATTCTTGATTGGGTTGTTTGGATCTGTTTGCCTACAACTCACCTGTTTTCTCACTTCCGATGATGATCTGCAAACCTTATTACAAACAACTCAGATACTGTTGCCAGGACAATGAGGGAGGTTGGCATAGTTGCTTCTGGTTGTTAGGATGCCCCTTTAGATGGTTTACATAACCTGCCCTCGACAAGTAGATGCGCTCATACACACAACATTTATAATACTGCATGTTCGTTGGTAAATCATAATGAGAGCTTCTTTGGAGATCATGATTGATCTGAACATCGATCCTCAAATACGTTGCATATTAATAAGATAATAATATGGCTCCTCTATGTACGATTTCAAGTCAGTTCTTTCCAATGCTGCACATCCACGTGCAATGCATTCAGATTATCCTTCAGATTATCTTTGAACCACTTTCCAGTCTTGTGTTGTGGACGCTTTCCTGCCTTCAGTTCCCCGTAGAAAATTTGCGAATCCTTTTAGCCCCAGTTCTCACACCGTGTAACCTGCCCATCGCATCTGGTTGGGGATTATTATTGTTTCAATGCAGGGTTAACATACATTTGTTATTCAACGTAAAAAAGGAAGTTTTACATTCTGTCAAGAAACACAAAGC